TGTCTTGTCAATTAAAGTCTAAAAGAGCTAACTGAATCTGAAAACTTTCCAATCTCTTCAAAGAACATGATTTCCATTAGTATGTTTTAAGAAATCCCCCAAACAATGAAGATAATAAACCAAGGACCAAAGCTCTCCAAGATTCAGCATTTTGTTATTCCATTTTCCCTAGGACACAAACTTCAGTATATTACTCTGAAAAAAAAAAAAAACAAAAACAAAACAATGTACTAAGAAAAATACAGAGAGACCACAGAATACACTAAGCTTTTGGCCAAAAGAATAAAACAAGCCAAGGAAAAATATCAGAAACAGATTTCCAAGAGATGGATGCTGTCCTTTCTGAGAGCTTCTACTCTGAGTCCCATCAGAAATATAATTTTCTGAGAGTTACAAATAAATAAGATCAGACATTTTTAAAAAAGGAAAGAAAAGATGATAGCATAATTTCCCTTTCCTCTCTGCCAGAGATGGCCTAAGGGAGCTCACAGGACCCAGTTCTAGCCAATGTGCTGTAATGAGAAGTCTGCTGCCAGGCTTATGGCCAAGATTTCCCTCCCTGGAAAGGCAGCTCCATATAAGGAGATAGCCTTTTATCTTTTTATCTTTGCCCCATTCCTTCCTGCACGGGCCACTCGCAGTCGGGGAAATTTATATTCACAGTGGTGGCAGCCATTTTGTGAGCCACGGTGCATTATGGGTACATCCTGAGGAAGGCAATGGAGCATGATGGGAAAATCCTGAGTTCGTGATGGCATGGGGCTGCTGAACCCCTCCTGGGCAGCCCACACCCAGGCTCCTTGCTCACTACACAATTATGAGCCGCTGGTTCTCAAAGTTGGGTCCCTTGACTAGCAACAGAAGGAGCACCTGGTGCATTCATTTCCTAGGGCTCCCATAACAAAGCACTAAGTGCTGGGTGACTTTAAACAGCAGAAATGCATTGTTGGACAGCTCTGGAGGCCAGAGGTCCAAGAGGAAGGTATCTGCAAAGTGGGTTCCTCCTGAGGGCTTCTGGTGGTTTGCTGTTAATCCTCGGCACTCCCAATCTCTGCCTTCGTCTTCCATGAGTCTCACCAGTTTAGGGGCCCTCCACTAGGACCCCCTCCCTGCCCCCCTGATCCATGGCGGCTCCACACCCTCCTCCTGTAGCCCGTAAGCCCCCTATTTCAGGACACAGCCTTTATAAAAAACTGAAAAATAAAAGTTTGTCACACCTCTGGAAGTAGACCTGAGCCCAGCTGGCCCTGGTGACAAGTGAAGGGACTTTAAACACACGAGAACATGCCTGACATCTCTAGGAACACCGAAAATGGGAGCTGAGACAGCAACGAGATTCCAGGAAAGAGTTTAAGCAAGGGGGGATGCAATCAGAATGCTTTTGAAACAGGTATGGGCACCCCTCCCTCCCTCTGTCTCCCTCCCTCCCTCCCTCCCTCCCTCCCTCTCTCTCTCTCTCTCTCTCTCTCTCTCTCTCTGCCCCCAAGATTTTAATTCAGCTAATAACGCTTGGGATTTTAAGACATGAGTGGTTCAGATTTCCGATATTTAGGAACGCTGGAATTAATGATAATGACACCAAACCAAGCAGCAGCACAGGAGCATTTAAAAATCCCTCCATCCCCCCAAATACTGAATGCTCTTTCTGCGACTTTTCCTGGCCACCTCAGACCACCCCATAGAAAGGGACTGATGTCCAGGGGCCATTGATTCCTGTGTTAAATAGTTCACGACAGACAGACAACGCTGTGATTTGGGGGAACTCAATGACTTTTAAAGGGGTTAAAGAACGTGGAAGAAAGGGGGCAGGATTCGGGTCGCAAGGGCTCTGGTTCCTTTCTCTTTTCACAGAGCTGGAGTCAATTTTGTGTCTCAATGTTTCCCACAACAGTAAAATCGCTCTCCGCCGTCTCGCGGAAGCCCGGCTGCCAGGCAACCCAGATGTGTTGTGGGGGCCGGGAGGGGCCGGGGACGGAGCAGGAAACATTATTTCTCCACTTCTTCCCAAGCAGAAAGAAAATTGTTCCTCTTCTCTGCTCCAGAAGAATACATTTAAAATGACAAGCTGGAGAAAATGAAAACAAACCCTTCCTTTGGAGATGTCTGACAGGGGAAATGAATTTTGGAGTGTGGGAAAATGAGTTTCCAGAATTTTCTGAATTAGCTCCAAATGTTGGAGTCCACGCGGAACTCGATCGGGTTTCAGGGTCTCCTCTTTCCGACGCTGGTCTATGTTGTTCATGAGGGGTCTACGTTGCCCGGTTGCAAAAGAAGCGTCTACAATTACCCGGGGCAAGCCTAATTCCAGGATATTTTTTGTCACCCCAAAAAGAAACCCCACACCCATTAGCACTGGCTCCCCAGGGTCCTGGCAACCACTAATCTGCTTTCTGTCTCTGTGCATTTGCCTGTTCTAGGTATTTCACATAAATGACGTCATACGATACATGACGGATCGTGCCCGGCTTTTCTTCACTCAGCATCCTGTTTTCATGGTTTATGCATATTGTAGCACGATCAGAGCTTCACTCCTCTTTGTGGCTGAACAGCAACATGGCATGGTCTGGACAGATCACATTCTGCTTCATGCTGCTATGGGCATCCGTGCATCTTGTGCAACTGTGTGTGTGTGTGTGTGTTGTGCACAAGAGGACTCAACTCTGAGGACCCACGACTGGCTTCAGTCCATCAAGACAGACGTGTTCCATGAATCCCCCCATCTCCCACCCACCAGCGTGGACCCGTGGCTCTGCCCTCCGCCCTGGGCTAGTTGGGAACTAGGTCTGTCTGTCTGCAATGGATTAATCTCACAAAGTCCTTATAAAGGCGAGAGCCGGTTTTGCAATTCTACCTCAATACTCTTGTCACACAGTTAGATGCAAGAAATGATTCCACCTACAAGCCACACCCTGTTTGGAAAAATAATACCTCTCTCAGTATTCCTGCATACAAGTTGCCTGAGCACTACTCTTTAAGAGCTTTCTTCCCTGCATCCACCCTTTACGCTTTTTATCTATTTTTTGGAGCATGCGAGGAGCACACCGCTGCTGCTGAGCACATGCGGCATTGTGCTGGCTTGGTTGGGAGAACTTCAGTTACAGCCAATAATGCCTGGGCTCCACCCACCAGGCAAACCAGGACGCGTGATTGCCACCGTCGCTTCCTCAGGTATCAATTTCAGTTGCTCGCTGAGGAGGCTGAAGGGTTCACGGCCGCCTCCAGTCTTCTCTTTAATGACCTGCGGGGTCGAAACTGAGCTAGCTACCTAAGAGCTGCAAATTCTTGAGTTACAAGAATGTCGACTGGACCCTGGAGTGATTCTGCAAACTCAGCGAGAAGGTGAGCGCAAGGGGAACAGTCACATGGAAGAAGTTTCTTCCTCAGCGTTCTAAGTTTTCCCGGAGCACGGAGGAACACTGCCATGGCAACAGGAATTTTCAGAACCAAGGACCCCGATCGCCAATACATTTGGAACGTCCTTGGAATAGTGAAGGCTTCCTGTGCTTGCACTTAGCAATCTCGATCTTTAGTTCGGGAAACCTCAAATAGTCAGTTATGAAAAAAAAAAAAAGAAAAACCCATGAAAAAAATGTTTAGGATATAGATTTGCTGTTATGTATTTGGTTTTGCATTAATGCAACACATTTTTATCGGGGCTTTATTTTGTGCTAATTCATATGCCCAGGGCTGGGGACACAGCAATGAGCGGAGAGACAGACAGACCCTCAGGGAGCATGCTTATGAGTATTTGTGAAACACATCTGCACACGCATTTCTTCATGTATGTTGGTGATTATTTTTGTTTTGTTTTGTTTTCCAAAATGGGCTTCCAAAACAACATTATGGAAACAGGAAATAAAGGTTCTATCACCTACACCTTGACTTTTGAGTTTCAGGAGCTAACTGGACCCTAAAGCAAGGGTTGCCTCCAAGTTCAATTTGTTGAGTTGCAAACAAGATCCAGGCTGCCTCTGTTTGCTTATGGACGAGCGTCACTTGTGAAAATGACCCCACACAGGAGGCTGGTGCCAAGTTTCTATACAGGTTATTTGTACCATAAAAAGTCCCCCAAAGTCTAAGCGTTCTCCAACTATCATAGCTTTGTCAGTGACCCATCTTTCTTGTTGCCAGAAAAGCAAGATTAGCAGGTGTTCTTGGAGTGTTAGAGGAGGTGCCCTGGTGCCAAATTTTAGAATCATCAGACAGAGTGACACAGCAGCCCTGTTACAACTTTGGTGCTACCTGCCAAACCAGCAAAGGTGAGGGCAGGTGGGTTATTATGTTGTTGTTTTAATTTGAGTGTTCTTTTGTTTGCTTGCTTATTTTATGAGATGGGATACCTCTGCTAAAGAGCTTTCTGTTGGACACGGTCCTTTAATCATTGCTAAGCCACACTCACGAATGTAGGCTTTCCCAGACACTAACTTGCAACATTTAACCCCTCCCAGTTAAAAATAAATGTACTATGAACACCATCCAGCGACAGATACTTTTAACCCCGAATGGAGCATCAAAAAAGTGATCCATATAACCAGAAGCTTTTGTTCCCCCGTAATGCTTTGAAATTTTAAAAAGTGTATTATCCTTGGTTCCTTTCATGTATGCACCCACAGTGAGATATCACAACTCCTGTGCCTTGTCTTGGACTTTCAATCGTGCAGCCCATGATGGCCCATCTGCAAAGGAATCCTAAGCCAAGGACAAATCACGTCTCTCTTCAAATGTGATGACAAGTCAAGGTCAAAGAGGCTGATGACTTTGACCTTGCTCCTCTGGCTATAGTTCCTGCCCTCCCTCTGCCCCCTCCTCCCCCCACAGCACGCAGCGCAAGGAGAACGGCTGAGCTCATGAGGCAGGTGCACGATGTGGCTCCCACTGTTAGCCTGAAGGGGCCCTGAACGTAGCGAGAACCGACTCTTCCGGAATATCCACCAAGCCTGCAGCCCAGTCTCACACCAGGCACGCCAAAGATGACCCAAGGGGCCAGGCTGGGCACCTACCTCAAGATGAAGAGGTCCACGGTGGAATTGCTGGCGATGGTGACATAGGCAGTGACCACGTCCCCCTGTCTGACCGGCCGGGAAGGCAGCCAGATGACCACGTTGCCATCCAGACGTAACTCGCTGAGCTGGGCGCTGTCCTGGGTCCAGAGCAGGCTGACGCTGCCGATCCTCTGCAGGTGGGACGTGGTCTCCCCCAGCCCGTCCTTTCCCGGGCGGATGGCGTTGCCCTTCCTGAAGTCACCCCCGGCACAGTCCCCTCGCTCGGCCCCCGGCTGCACGGCGTAGTAGAGCTCCACGGGGCTGCCCTCCTGCTGGTCCGCCGACTTCTTCCTCCCGGGCCCCGCCGTGGGCGGACTGAACCAGCCGGGCGGCAGCTCCAGCTCCGCCACGCACAGCCCCAGCTCCCCCTGCAGCCGGCAGCTGCCCCTCACCTCTCTGGTCTCCCGGAAGGCGAAGACCCTCAGGCAGGGCAGCCTCTCCCCGGCGCTGTGGTCGCCCCAGTCTCTGCCCACGATGGAGAACAGAACCTGCACCTTGGGCCGGCTCAGGTAGATCTTGTCCCGCAGGATACAGGCCTTCAGTTTCCAGTCGAAACCAAACTTGCTGGATGCACCCCAAACGTTCGAGCTCAGCATTAAGTCCAGAGGCACGGCCTTCTCCACGGAGAAAGGCCCATAGCTGGCGTTCACGACCGGCGGCTGCTTGGCTCTGTGCGTGAAGAAGGACTCCACGCGGGACTGCAGGCTGGAGTTGCGCAGCGGGTCCTGGCCGGCGTCCTTGAGGAAGAAGGACGTCTCTGCTCGCAGGATGTGGTAGCTCACGGGGAGGTACGGCGGCAGCGAGGAGAATCTCTGCACGTTGTCTGTGACTCCACGGCCCTCTATCACTAGAAGGGGAGAAGAGAGAAAAGACAAAGTCGGAATCATTAAGGAGCTCCTCAGAAGTCGTTAGCCCTTTGCACTCGCTTGCTTTTTTCTCCATTCCTTTATTCTACTCGGGATTTGATTTTTTAAATACCCCAGAATAATAAATACTGGAGCTTCTTTTCATACAAACTTATTTATTTGGAATTTTTTTTTTTTGCATTTCAAATCATCGATGCATTCAAAGAGTGATTTTAATCTCTATAATTTTTCACGGTGCGAGCTGCTACCGATGCTGACCGTGTCGAGTCACACTCGACATCCGAGTGCAAAGGGTGAGGTCTGTGAGCCGTTTGGAAAGGAGGGAGGGACATTCTGAAGCCCACTTGGCTAGAATCGTTAAATCCCTCCTGGAATCCGCCGGCACATGGCTCTCCACGGCCCACGCGCTGTGTGCGTGTCCTTCTGTTAGTTTGAAACAGACGAAAGCGAGCATCGTGTAGAGTAGGGATCATCCCGCGGTGGCAGTTTCATAGAGCTCGACCTAACAGAATGCTGCTAAATAACCGATGAGAGTGAAGTGGGCATTTTTACTAATAATTTGTATGAGTTTTAAAATGTATTTGATGCCATTGGTACACGAATAGCAAAATAGACTCACGGGATAGAAAAAAAAAAAGGTCCCTAAATAAACCCAAGAACATATGGAAGTTTAGTAGGTGATAAAGGAGGCATCTCCAATCCTGAGGGTAATAGAGACTTTTTAATAAATGGTGCTGGGACAACTGCTATATTTTTTGGGGGAGAAAAAAGATAAAATTAGATCCATACCTTACACCATATGTAAGAATAAACTTCAAATGGATTAGTGCTTTAAATCTAGGAAGATTCAATCTTCTAAGTGCTAAAAAAAAACATGGATGAATTTCTCTATGACCTGGGCATAGGAAGAGCTTTCAACACCAAGGCAGAAAAGAGCAGCACGTCTACCCCTGTCTTCCTGGGATGTTTGAGCCATCACAGACATCGACAGCACACCGGCAGGCTCCTTGCTGTTTGAATGCTGTCTGCACCTAAATCCTTCCCCGGGCTTATACTACATTGTTGGGGGTGCCACCAAGAACTTGCTACCGTATTTTCCCAAAAATAAGACAGGGTCTTACATTTATTTTTCCTCAAGAAGACACCTTAGGGCTTATTTTCAGGTGATGTGTTATTTTTTTTAAGTACGGTATAATCATCTACATTGATTCAAATATAGTGAAGTCGTCGTCTTCTGGAACATCATCATCACTCTCCAAACCCCGAATGCCATCCTGAATTTCTTGCGACTCTATTTCCTTTAGAACCATCGGCCCCCGATCTCTCAGGTCGAACAACAGAGCTCTCATGGGACAGATGAGAAGGGCTGCTCATCTTCTTTCCGGATCCCGAGACGACACGCACGGGTTGTGCAGACGCGCTGCGCAGCCACGCCCACCACCAGGGCTTATTTTCCGGGTGGGGCTTCTATTGCGCAAATGCTTAGAAATCCTGCTAGGGCTTATTTTAGGGGAAACACGGTACATACCCAGGACCCCAAAACGTAAATTGTCCCAATTGCTAACTTAGCAAACCCAAGAAACCCCAACTCCTTGCTCAGAAAACCCAAAGGAGCCTGGATTCATGTACTGAGAGAGAAGAGGAGAGGTCCTCTCTGCTCTCTCTTCATTCCAACCTTCCAACCTTCCTGCCTGTCCCACCCTCCCGGGGCGGCGTGTGCAGCCCACCAGTGTGCGTGGCGGCCGGCTATGCCCTCCTTTGGGGGCACCTGATCCTTTCCCTGGAAGGGACATGGGCCGGGAGATCCAGGCTGCCTTCTGTGCCACAGCCGGGCAGAAGTCCTTGGGTTGTCCAGATGCATCTTCAAAGAGGTCACATCCCTTCCTCTCCTCGGCCCAGAGGCCTTGCCCTGAGGTCACCGGTCAGCAGGTCTCACTCGCTTCTCTCTCTTCATGGACGGCTCAATCCTTCTGCTTTAAGCCCCGGATTCCAGAACCGGTTTTAAACACGCCCAGGAGGCCCTGTCACGGCACAGCGTTCCAGAAGGAGTTCTTCACAACGACTCATACGACAGGTCTGACGATGACCTTTCCCAGGCGAGGGAACTGAGGGATGCAGAAGGTAAGTAATTTCACTCAAGGTCTCCTGCTTGCGAGTGATGCAGCTGAAATCCGTGCCCGGCCGTCCGGTTCCAGAGGCTCCTGTCCCCTGGGCGCCAGGGCCTGCATCCCCTCTGCTCCTTCCCTCCCAGGTCTGCGAGGGTTTGATGAGACGACGCCTATAAGGTACTCAGCAAGCGCCTGGCTCATAATGAGGGTGCAAATAGCGTTATATCTTGACATGCATTTGTTCTTGATCATGCAAACTGCTATCGAAATTTAAACGCACATTGTCCCTTCATGGTTCCAGGGCCTTTGCACGTGCCAGTCTTTTGCCTAATTATTCCCGCTCAGTTCCCAGCTCCGACCTCAGTGCTTCTGGGAAGGTGTCCTGACTCACTTCCCCACCAGGTCTGGTGCCCCACCATGCACTCCGATAACACCATGCACCTGCCTTGCATGCCTCTTTGCACAGCTGTACTTTTATGTCTATTTGTGTGTGCATATCCGGTTAACCCTTTGCACTCGGATGTCGCGTGTGACTCGACACGGTTGGCATCGGTAGCAGCTCGTATGTCGAGCCGCACTCGACACGTAGTTTCACCTCGGGGGGAAGGGGGATTTTTGTCTATTTTTCCAGTATCTTTTCTTGTTTTCATTAGCACGAAAGGAGAAGTAAAATGTAAATGCAGAGATAGCACACTAACTTCCAGGGGTAGATTATTATCCACCAACTTAGAGCAACGTTTAGATGGAAAGCTCCATATAATCACACCTCACCCTAACAAAAAAACACAAAAGATTGTGTTTGTTCTAACAGAAAAATCAGAGGAGGAAGAAGAGAGACGACTTACATTTGCAAAACACGTGAATGTAAACCGGGTCTTCGTGTGGGTGAATGTTTCAAAAAATATCACACCATGAAAAATGATAGAGATTAAAATTACTCTTTGAACGTATCGATAATTTGAAATATAAAAAAATTCAAACAAATTTGTACGAAAAGAAACTCCAGTTTTTTATTCTACTGCCGTGCTCTGTAAAATGTGGGGCATTTAAAAAAATTACATCCCGGGTAGAATGAAGGAATCGAGAAAAAAGCAAGCGAGTGCAAAGTGTTCATGATTCTTTCCCCTGGCAGACTGGAAGCTCCGTGAGGGCAGGGATCGTGTTCTTATTCCTTAGGGCGCCCTCCCGCCCTGCACACTGCGTGACCCAGTCATCACGCATCCACACTCGGGGAATGCATGAAGCTTGACCAGTGGCCCAAAGAACAAGCCAGCCAGGCAAATAAATGGTGGAAGGAGCCACTTCGCAAAACACAGTGGCAAGGCGTACAATGAGGCAGAGTGTAGACAGCAGCAATGTGAAGACAGAACCTCCCACAGGTGGTAGGAAAAACTGGATTCAATAGCCACGGACACCCCTGCATCCACTAGCAGGGGTGGTGATTCTCCGCGACCGTTCTACGTCTGCACATCAAATGTGTGGAGCAGGGGTCCTCAAGCTTTCTAAACAGGGGGCCAGTTCACCGTCCCCCAGACCGCTGGAGGGCCGTTGGAGAGCGCGGCGCACATTCCACACATGCGCACCGCGGGCCCGGGACGAGTCGGCTGCTAAGCAGGACAGGCAGCGGCGGCAAAAACACCCGGCGGGCCGGATAAATGTCCTCGGCGGGCCGCATGTGGCCTGCAGGCCATAGTTCGAGGACCCCTGGTGTGGAAGAAATGTCATCTTCAGGTAGGGACCTTCCTTTGCCTTGCAGTTACCTACTTTTAGAGTTTCCTGTCTCCTGGAAGTAAACTAATCCAGACAATGATTGCAGCAGGCAGAAAAAAAATCATTTCCATTCGCCAATGAAATAGTGCACTGGCATCGTCCGTGAGGCTGCCGGGAATCGATCACGAACTTACTGAGAGTGGATACACCCAAGACCGCCTAGCGCGGCTGTCTGCACTCAGCGCTTTCAACTGATGGTGGTTTCCTAAGCTTCAGACATCCATCACTTTCACAACATTAGCCAGATGTTTATGCACTTAATCATGCAGTTCATTAATAATTGATAGTTTTATTGACTAGACTTGCAATTAATAATGTGCTCCTATCAATGACTTAATAATTTTGTTTCAATGATCCTGCTACAAATGAACCGCCAAGATCTCACCCTCCAACTGCACCTGCCTACAGCCCCGAGCCTTAGATCGGCCATTTCTTTGTTAAATGGAGAGATTATCTGTAGAGGTGGGTGCTAGGAAGATCGAGTGCCAGCAAAATGAGATTTTTCTCTTAGATAGAGCAATTCCATCAGGAGTGAGAAGGGAATCGCTGTCTCGTTTGTGAGAGTCAGGTCGTTTCACACTATGTCCACGGACCCCCCCAACAGCCGTCCAAGGAGACACTCAGGGGACGGACCCCGTGGAACTGTGCAGGGCCCACCTGCAGCCCCACATGCCGTGACGCCGTGTGTGTCACCGAAACCCATCTCACTCACTCAACTCAGCCCGGACCGAGCAGATTAATGAAGGAGAGGCGATTGCCAGCTTTTGTTGTTATGTTTTCTTTCTGGAAACTTTATCTCTTGATTGCCAGGAAACAATCCCAGGGCGCCGTGAGCTCTGACAAATACCCTTCCATCCTCCCCCTCACTCGGGTTCATCTGTTCACGCCAATGTCTCCCAGGAAGGTAGGACAATTGAGTCATTTGTATTGATCTTAAACAATACCGCTGGAGAAGCCCAATGCTGGTTCCCTGGGCCGTGGGGCGGGGTGGAGAATGGGGGAGCAGGTGACAGCCGCCCCCGTCTGTCTGGCCTCCACGCCGACAGCCACGTTCATCTGCCGCCTCCCTTCCTGTTTATCCATTATCTCTATCTGCGCCCACC